TAAGTATAGAAACAGGGCGGTAGTTGCCTGGGTCCAATTTGCTGCCCTTTTTGTGCAGGGGGGTTACTCTTGCAATTTTGAAGTCTTTGGGTACTTTTCCCTGTTTTATGGAGAGGTTAATTATGTGAGCTATGACTGGTGAGATGGCGGTTGCTGTGTCTGAGGAATTTGGAGGGGATATTGTCGTGGCCAGTGGCCTTGTTAGGTTGGAGGGCGCTCAGTTTAATGAGTACCTCTGCTGTTGTTACCCTTGCTAGACTGAAATCATCTTTGCGTACCCCTAGGTTTTTGTAGTAGGTCATGATGTGATCTACTCCAAAAAGCCCTGAGTGGGAGGGTAATGGCTATGTTTGTGAAAAAAATGTTCAAGTACTTGGCCACATCCAGTTTGTCTGTGATGAGCCTGTTATCTGTCTTTATGTTTAAGTTAGAAAATCTCGTTTTGAGTTTTTTACTGCAGCCAAGCTGGTTATTGAGTAATTTCCAAAGTTCACGGGGTTTATTTTTGTTTTCCTCAGTTTTGACATTGATGAAATTCTTTTTGGCAGTTTTGATCATGGAGCTTACGTCATTTCTTAGTCTGTTTATTTCAATTTTGAGTTCAGTCACGTGGGCCTGGAGTTCACTGCTCGTGCTTTTGGAAAGCATTGACTGACTTTTATGAAACTCAGAGCATTTTTTGTCTCTGGTTTTCATGGCGGTCAGTATGCCGGAGTGCATCCACGGCTCAGCGCGATTTTTTACCCTGGTTGTTCTTAGGGGGGCCAAATCATTGAGTATTGCAGAGAATTTGTTTTTGAAACCAAGCCATGTTTCTTCAACTTGTGTACCACTGAGCTCATCTGACCAGTCCAGGCTCTCCAGTTCTAGGTTAAAGGCCTCGCAAGAGTAGTTTTTGAGGTCTCTAGATGTGACAGCCGGCCCTTTGTTTTAGCTTTTTGCGGGTACAGAATATCATATAATGATCACTTAACCCGCATGCTATAACCCCTTTACTGGAGATCCTGGACTTGTCAGAGGTCAGAATGAGATCAATGGTAGTTTGTGTTGTTTCACATACCCGGGTGGGTTGGGTGATTAGCTGGCTGAAGCCGTGCAGATCACAAATCCTACTGAAGGAGGACGTGTCTTTACGTTGCATATCCGTGTTCCAGTCTCCAATAATAATTGTCTCTACATCCCCCACATCAGCCAAACACCCATCTAATGTATCATAAAAGTCACTCTGTTCCGGTGGTCTATAGATTGTCCCGACTATTACAGATTTAGCATTGTCAAAAATAATTTCAACCCACAGATTCAATATTTTCATGATGCAGGTCAGTACGGTTTTTGAAATTGGTGTCTTTATGTATGTACATGCAGACACCACCTCCATTCACATTCCTGTCCCTTCTCACTACAAGATAATCTTCAATTTCAATCTCTGAATCTGTAATGGAATTGTCCAATTTGGTCTAGCCTGAGTTCAGCCAGTTTGTGTCTCAGGCTGTTAGTGTTCAGATGAAAAATATGTAGTCCATTTTTGTTGCTTAAATGCACAATGTCGTCAGCTTGCAGATATTTGTCTTTGTCCGTTACAGCAACCGGCTTGTCGTGGTGGGGTGGTGGTGTGGGGTGCTGGTGGTGGTGGGGGGAGGGAGGCTCCGTTGTAGCCTAGCCGTTGATATGCTAGCAGGGTGGCTAACAACATGGCGGATATTTGTTCCCTCGGATCTCGGTTCTCTTCCTCTCGTCACTGCCTCATGCGTGTCTGTCTGCCGAGGCGTCCCCGGGAGAATCTCGAAGTCTCCGTTTATTCCTTGGTCTCCCTGTCTCCTGTCTTCGTCGCGTAGTTGTTGTTGCAGCGGAAGAGATGCTAGTTCTGATGCTAATTGAGATGCTAGCTGCTCGAGCCTGCAGGACTGGCTTCTTGTCTGCACCGGGCCCGGATTCAGATGGATGTCTCCCGCTAACAATAAGACCAAGACGATCATACTTCTTCGGTCTAGTTTGCCTGACGGGGGTAAGTACTTTCGCGTCGGGTTTGCAGTTAATAATGCATGAATGCTTGCACTTCCAAAAGCGAGGTGTTTCCTTTCCCAGCCGTTGAGAAGGTAAAAGTCATTGTGGTTCATTTTATCCCCGCTTTCATTACTCTCCTAAGTGATGTTGTCTCATTGATGAGTTGAGGTAGGAGTCCATAATCCATATTGTCAGGAGGATGAAATATGTAAAAAATCGTGAGGAATAACCGCCAAAGCGGGAGCTCTCGAAAATGCGACCACTCATAGTGAAACCGGATGTTGCATTCCTGGCTGAGAAGGAAGATGGAAGAACGTAGTGCTGGCTGGCTGGAGGGTACGGTACTGCTGCTGCTGCTGCTGTTGCTCCAAGTTGTGCTGCTGGTTCACCTGCTCTACGTAGCCACACTCCTGGGATCTCCACACTGATGCCGGAGGTGGGTTCTTAGGCCACTGGCTGGGACCTGGCTGGAACTCTGCTGACGGTGAGGAGGCCGCTCTGCTGGCGGAGAAGTAGGTACTGCTGGGGAGGGCAGATGTGTAGACTGGGTTCACAGCAACTGGCCTCTGCTGCTGCGACTAATGCCAACGGGACATCTACGAAGGGAATGATCTGGTCTCCAGCCGCTTCCCTCATCCTGAACTGTCTGGACATCTTCCGGTAACTGGAAAGACAAACAGCATAGGATTAATACAAGCTCAAATTTAGCATGCAATAAAATGTGTGACATCAAATAAATGAATTTTAAATGTATGCAATTTTATATACTTACTAGTTAAGAACTGTGGTGATGTCCTCATCCGCAGGTTCCAGGCAGGCATCATGCAGACGATCCAGTTCAGTTTCCAGGTACTTGCAGAAAGGAGTGGCCCTGTTGACTGGCTGCTCTGTAGTGATGAACTGAACCAGCCTATCTTGGAGATCACGGGATGATGCTCCGGTAACTCTCATCTCCGGAGACTCGGGTTGGTCCTCAGCAGCTGTTCCTGTCCTGGAAGGAGGTCTCGGTGTAGGGTAGCCAGTGTACTTCTTGTTGGGCTCCCTGGATTTGTCTGCAAAACTGTCGTCACTCCCAGCCAGCTCACCCGTCTCAGCCAGGGCCAACTTGTCCTTAAACTGCAAAGACAAAAATAGAAAACAAACATAAGTACATTTGAAAGTTATATTTGGAAACAAAAATGTGGGAAATTGAACATTTTCGACAAAGTTCCGTTTTAATTCAATTTCAATGATATACTCACACTAGCTGGTATTTCCTTGTTGTGATGTCTGATGTGTGGCTTCAGAAACCCAAAGACCCGGCGGATGAACTTGTCACGGTCACTGTCATTCTCACTGGCCTCCTCAGCAAGGATGGGGTCTTCCTCGTCACTGCTCGACAGACCATCACCAGACCTCTTCTGGGATTTCTTCTTGGGTTGGCCCTCCCGCAGCTTTGAGAATCGAGTCCTCTGTGTTTGATACCATTTCAGAATTGAATGATCTGCAATGACAGAAATCAAAACAAATAATTAGTCCAATCATTGAAATGTTCATTGGCAGCAATGTATGTCAAGTATCTGAAATAGATTTCAAATATTTGAAAGTAATTGAAATGTACATTTTTTTCTACTTACAATCCAACCTGTACTCCGCAGCCTTTCCCTCCCATAGGTGCCTCTTTAATGCCTTCTCTTTGTACTGTTTGTCCTTCATGTCATACAGTAGCTTCTTACTCTTCACCCAGCAAGCGATTGCCTCCTCCTGCGCCTCTGTGAAGCTGTATGATACACCAGGGGGTGGGTTCTCCTTCTGGGCCTTGCCTTTCCCTTTGTCGCCCTTGCCCACTTCAGGCTTGGACTTGCCTGCAGGGAGGGTGGGGGAGGCTGACTCATCTGAAAAGATACCAAATGAAAAACATGCAGGACAACAATGTATGAGAATATATAACAAAATCAATTACCCCTCTTGCCCCCCATCCAGGGTTCAAGTTATGTAGGAGCCAATGGGAGCTGAGCTCACATAAGGAGGGGTCTGAGCTCCCATGGACGCAGTGAAACTATACATCTGTGGGGGTCGCTAATACATTACCAACAACCATTATTTTAATCACAAATAATGCATGTGTCAATGTAATAAGTATTGTTTATGTTAACGAGGTAAATAGGCTAAAAGAAAAACATGCTTTCCAAAATAACTACGCATCTCTTGAATGACAATATGGCTGGACTGCACCTCCAAGGTGCGCAATACATTATTACGCAATCTATGCCGATGATGTGTGTGTGTGTGTGTAGTTGAACCTTTTCATATTTAAGTTTGTAGCAAGTAGAGAGAGGGCTGATGCTGCTGCGTGAGTGTGTGTGGGTGCGCACGTGCGTACCCACACACTCACACGCAGCAGCAGACTCCCCATAGAGCACAGTTTATAACTCGAAGCCTGCCCCCATCCATACCAAAAATAAGTTAGAAATATTTACCTTCATCCTCCGAGGATTCGGGATGTCTGTTACGACGAGGAGAAGGTGAATGCTGCCGAGACTCTTCGGACTGCTGAGGAGACCTGGAACCCTCTGGGGGCCGCTCTGGAGTTTTAGTTGGCCCGACTTTCTTGCATTTCCTCCCCTTTCTCTCTCTGGTTGCAGACTCAGTGCTGTGTTCTTGGACCTCAGTTTCCTCTTCTGAGTGTATTTAACAGCCAGCTTCTTCCGTCTGCCTCTCCCTGCCTTGGGTGGCATGTTAACGTAGACTTAAAGTAGAATTTACCTTGTGTTCTGCTCCCAATAATCTCCGATCAAGAATTTGATTTCCCACACGGCCGAAGCTTTTATACCATCGGGAGGTCACGTGTCGCCTTCGTGGGGGGTTCGGGTGCCATCGTGTGGCCTTCTGTAGGCATCGTACTTGCTTCGGCTGTTGCTTGGCCGATGACCAAGTTCGGGGCCATCTTCGTGCAAAATTCACAATTCCATATTCGTGTGTCCATCGGGAGTCAATTTCGGGACAGTGTGACAGGGCCTTAAAAAAAAATCCCGAAATTGACACCCGATGGACACACGATAAAGGAAATGTTCAAATTCGGCTGTGATCGTAGCAACATCGGGCCATTCGTGAGGGCATCTAAGCCATCGTATGACCGCCGGTGGAGTTTCTCAGGCTCCGGCAGCAACTTCGTGAGCGGCAACTTCGTAAGGGACTCGTGAGGGCATCTTGTCAAATCGTGTCATCTTCGTGTTATCATCGGTGCATTCACCCTCACTCTGATCGGGGCGAATGCCCGATGGCACCGATGATAACAAGATGCCCTCACGATGGCCTTACGAAGGGCAAAATGGACACACAAAGTCAACACGAAAATGAACCTTCGCAAGGTCCTTCGGCAATTTTTTGGCATGCTAAAGATTTTGGCACCGCTCACGAAGTTGCTGCCGGAGCTTGAGAAACTCCACCAGCGGTCATACGATGGCTTAAGATGCCCTCACGAATGGCCCGATGTTGCTACGATCACAGCCGAATTTGAACATTTACTTTATCATGTGTCCATCGGGTTGTTTTATTGCACAACAAAATCATGTAAATAACCCAATTTGTGTTCTGTGAAACTAAAAACGATATAATATATTATTTTGAAGGCGAGTTGACAGGAAGTTGTTGTTGCTATGGAAACAACATTAAGGAGAACACTTAATATATTCTACATATAAAGACGGATAAAGTAAAGAACAAAGTCTGAAAATATCAGTACAGTATCATAGTACTTTAACATAATTGTTTGTGTTACTTTCGTTGCAGTTGTATGTCTTAAATGTAATGTAAATGTTGCCTTTGTGTGTGGTTCGGGGCCATCTTCATGCGAAATTCACAATTCAATATTCGTGTGTCCATCGGGTGTACATTTCGGGACAGTGTGACAGGGGCTTAAAGGAAAACCAATGTTACATACCAAGGTTTTTTTTACAGGTCTTATAAAGTACAAATGCATATGTGTAAAAGGTTGTAAGAAGCTTGTTGTGGCTACAGAGGGAACATCTCAGAAATAGCCTGAAGTGATGTCACTGAGGCCACAAACATCCAGCGCGCATATTAATACATCTTTCAAGAGTCCCACATTGTTTTCTATCTATGTCCTGGCTGTTTGTCTGTTTCCTCATTTCCTCCTTGTTTGCTATATACATCCCGTGGTTTAATAGTCAAAGCTATTCTCATCAGAATAACTGTCAACCTTTTTGTAATTATAATGCAAACCAAGGCACTCGTCTGGCTGTGAAATAAGACCCAATGACAGACGTTCTGGATTCACTCGCATTGTGTTTTCCTTTCCCTCCAATAATACTCAGTTTGATGTGTTGTCAAGGGAGGTAAACAAGAGTATGAATATACAGGTCAGAGGTTGAGACGCTCACAGAGAGTCAAACAGCCGGCCAAACAGACATTTGATGCACACACGCTTCACTTCTACTCACAGCATGCTGCATAGCCATCTTACAAATAATTTACTTCTGCAATTCAAGTGAAATGTCCTCCTCTGGTTTGTATTAATTGTGCTCAGTAGGGGCTGGGAAACGGCTCACATTCTGATGAAGAAAAATAATTGGCTTTGAAAAGGAAGGCAAACAGTGTAACTTCATCTAACAGAATCAAGGGAATAGGTAGCAAAAGAAGGGTGTCGCTGAACAGATGCACACACTTCTGAGACTTACCTTGTTAACAGCAGTCGGATGAATTGTCTTACCATACAGAAAACATTCCATTTATTTTTGACTGCTCCCAAATAGGCTTGGCATGATGACCTTTTAAGCAAAAAGTAGCCACTACAATTAGGGATGCACGATATTGGGTTTTTGAAACCGATACCGATAACTTCCTGCTTCTCAAGACCGATACCGATAACAACAAAATGTTTACGCCACTAATTATTTTAACGCGATTAACGCATGTGTATTTTTTTTCCTTGGCCGCCCCGTAGTTTCAGAGCGCATCGAGTTTAAAATACCATCTACAAGCTGATGCTGACAGCCCCGCTCCTGCCGCCCGCTTGTGGCAGACCACACTTCCACGCTCACCGGCAGGCACCGACTGGCCATTTGGAGGACCGGGAGGGTGTGTGTATGTGTGGCCCGAGCGAGCGAGAGAGAGACCTTACGTGCATTGTTGTTGTTAGCATCTGGTGCTAGCTAGCTGCGCTAACGGATATAAGGAGCTGTTTAAATGAAAACAGAGGAGCGACATTTCGCCACAAATGCGCCGAGCACTTGACTTTATGCAGGAAGCCAGACAGTGGGACATTGTACGAAAAGTCAGCACACTCAGCACGGATAGTGCGCAACATGATTGCAGCGTCCAGGCAGCTCCGGTTCGAGCATATGCCTTGAGTTGCACATAGCTCCAACGCCCATACCACCGACGACGACATGTTTGTTTACTGTCCTGGCTTCACGGCCGCACACCATTTACGTCACAGCCAGGCATGAGTTAGGGAGCGCTGGATTTGTGAAGAACTCCCCTCTTCCTAAACCACTAATACCACAGTACTGGCAAAACGGGAGGAGCCGAGTGAAAAACAAGCGCTCCTCATCCCAATCCACCCACACCGCAGTATTTTTTTCTTTTTTTTTACCCAAAAAATATATTGTATATTATCGGGGCTATTAATACTGGTATCGGGTTTATCGGGATGACGTCATAATTCCTAATATCGGACCGATAATTATCGTGCATCCCTAACTACAATACCATAAGCATTGTGGAACTGACTGGTTGTGCTGTGTGCTGCATGATAATTACAAAAAAGAATCAACAACAATACATGACATTTAATTTGTGTACATTCTACGCTTTCTCTGTAGCTTTACTACATTGCACAGTAAAGCATTTGAATGGTTGAAGATACTGGGAGGAATTATATAGCTTTGGATTTCTGATGTTATATCACTGGACATTTTCACAGATGCTAAACCATTTCAGTGGCCTACTTTGTTCGATCACAGAAGCATGACATTGGTCCAACTGTAACTGTTGGGATTCAATTGCGTGTGACCAAAAACGATATCAGTTAACTGGTTTTGAATGCATTACTTACAAATCTATTTACTTGCGGTGAGTTTGTGCGCGAGTGATTCTTAAATTTGCCTAGAATACTTTCCTGATACTCAAAATGTGTTAAAGGCCCTACATGACCATATGATATTCTGCCAAGTTATATCCGTTTGGTTATTAAGACATGAATACATGACGTTATAGAGACACACTTTGTATTTTTACGATACGATATGTTAATACTTTATTGGTCAGATCAAGTCTGAAATTCGACTTGCATCACAGCAGTCCATTTTAACATCAACATGGACAAACATCAAGACACAAGACATTTAAGATTTCAAACCACATTACCAGGGGATTGACAGATGTCTAAACTTCATTAAATATATATGAATAAAGAAAAAGGGTTAGGGTTAGAAAAACATCTTAGTATCCATTCTAAAAGGGATATATACCATTAGGTTCCCCTTATAAATTACAAAATGTAGTTAAATGAAAGAAAATATATATAATGGGGCGAAGCCTGCGAGCTAGTTCAGGCAGTAAACTCGAGCACTTATGTTGCATTCATACATAACGCCCCCTTGCCACTCTACAACCAACCAAACAGAGTCTCCTTAATATGCCGCTCTATTTAACCTGCCAGATCTCTCTCCATGCATTGCTTGCTGCTGCTATTGCTGCAGCTACCTCGCTGCTGCTTGCCTGCTGCCACTGCTTGCCTGCTGCCACTGCTTGCTATTGCTGCGTTCATGTTCCTGCTGCTGTGTTTCATGTTGCTGCTGCTTGCCTGCCGGTGCTGTCCTTGTAAATGTCTATTGCAATCTCCGACTCTGGAACCGAATCATCATATGCAAGAAGCCGTAAGAAATGCCTCATTCCCGAAACACAGGCTAGCTCAGAGCATGGTTCAGACGCCGCTGGAACGACCCACAGCTCCCGCACGACACACATTCAGGTGTCCCACTCCCTTCCGTCCTCATCTGGAGTAGCTTTTAATATCCTTTGGGCCAGAGGAAGTCCCGAGTTCTACGCCAGCTCCGGTAACAACCACTCTCTTGTGTGTCAGCTGAGAGTGATTGATTGATTGAAAAGTTTATTAACAGCTTGTATATTGGGTACAGTACAGTACAGCTCAAAACATACAATTGTTAAGGGGATGCAGACCAGAGAAAGACTTTCGTCTTGTTTACATCAGGGTCCCCCATTTCCAATTCATCATGTCATTTAAGACATATTTGACATACAGATGGCTTATTTACAATTTACATACAGGTGGTTTTTTACAATTTTCATTTTAGATTTCGTTCTAATACATCCTAACCGGACATTTAAGACATACCAAGTCTACAGATATACAGTTAGTAACAGAGTCTAAAATGCGAGTATATACATAGAGGAGGGGGGGGGGGGGGAGCTGTCCATTGTACGACAGGTTGAGATTTGTACCATTACCGGGGCCAGTTTTGCAATGCTCTCCCCCGAAGGTGCTCTTTAAGAGAGGTTTTGAAGGTAAGTATAGTTTTACTTTCCTTTACGGTTGTGGGAAGAGCGTTCCACCTTGATGTGGCATAATTGCGAAACGTGTATTCCCCCTTTTTTGTGCCAAATCTGGGTTTCACATGATTTGTGGAGCTCCCTCTGGTGTTATGATCATGGTATTCCTTGACCTTTGGGAAGAATTTTGACATGTACATGGGTACCATAGAGGTGTAGTGGATCTTGTAGACCAGGCCCATTGCAAGTAGCTGTACTCTGTCGTCTACTCTAAGCCATCCTAGGTTGTCAAAGTGGGCAGAGGTGAGGTGGGTTCTAGATGAAAGGTCAAGCAGTAGTCTGACTAGTTTATTTTGCGATGTTTGAAGTTTTATTTGTAGCGCCTTGGAGGTGCTATGGTACCATGACGTGCAAGCATAGTCATAGTACCCTTGAATGAGTGCTCCTGCCAGAGTTTTCAGGGTGTTTTTGTTTACCAGAG